ACGCTTTTATTAATGAAAGACAAACGGCGCCGACTGAGATCAGAGTGATTTGTGAATTTGCTAACCTCCCTTTGGATGCCTGTGAAGTGACTGTTCATAAATCTGTGGTGGTTTATAGACAGAATCACTTGCGAGGCACAAAACATCTGCTTTTTATGAGGTCAAATTCTCACTGTTGTGGGCACCATCTTTCAAACCTCAATAAAACACATATTGCCGTACCATGTACCGAATTTATTTATTTATAAACCCCTTAGCTGATAAGACTTCAAACTCATGGATGGACTAAAACTGGCCTCCTAGATTGTTGTTTTATTGTCTCACTGGTACCTGAATAAACATACTCTTACATTCTTTTAAGTACAAACTTTTAAGTACAAACTCCTGAACCTTCGTTTTGGGGAGAAATATTCCTTTAATAATCAGTGAAGACTACAGAGCTGGGACCGCTTCAAAAATCTGAATCACTGCTTCACAATTTCTTCCATAAAGCAGGTAATTCAAACACTAATTCAACCTCAACATGTGCTGTGTTCGGCTCCCATCCCCACACACTCCTTACGTGGTCAGCAGCAGTGCTCCCTCTGTGCAGCGCTCCAGGGCTTTACGTGCAGCTGCTTTGTTTGCAAACTCCACGATGCCTCTCCCAGTGGGACGACCGCGGTCATCCGTCACCACGATGGCTCGTTCCACCGACCCAAACTGAGAAAACGCCTGGTGGGAGAAGGTTTCCAGGTTTAAACATCACTGCACAGAAACAAAGCACAATGGAGAAGACATTTAAAAAGCTCTTTTTATAAAGATTACCTGTTCCAGCAGCTCATTTGTTACTACAGGCAGCAGGTTGCGCACTGCGAGCGCAGCACCGTGTGTAGCAAAACGGATCCTGATTGGTCGATTGTTCAGAATAGTGCCATCCAGCTCAGCTTTAGCAATCTCTGCCAACGTCCGGGTTTCCTGGAAGACAAGAGAGGAAAAGGAAAAGGATGTTTATACCCCAGTGAGGCACATTTCAGCATTCATAAGGGCTGTATAATTCAAATTCTACTTTAATCTTCACAGTCCAGGAGCTGCACCACGGTATTTTCTATGATGACCAACCAAATAAAGTCATAGTTCAAACTACACATTGCTGTTTGTCTGTTCAACATATAAAAGCAACTTAATTTCAATGTAATGTCACAGAAGAGAGGAGAAACAACACATTCAGCTAACCTACCGCCATTTTAACACACAACACATGACATAATATGAGTCTAAACTTAGTTAACCTGCTCTATAACATGTTAAACATACAACAGGTAACATAAAACAGCACATACTGCTACTGTGACACACTCAATGTATTTAAAGCACATTAAAACACAGTTTGTCTGCACAGTTTAAAGCCAATAAGGAGAGGTACATACCAGGCGAATGAAGCCGAAGCCCCGCTCTCTGTTGATGAACACCTCGTTGATATTCCCATATTTAGCGAACATGTTTTTGAACTCTTCCTCCGGGATATCCACCGGGAGATTACCGACAAACAGCCGCGACCGCTGGGTGAACGTCTTCTCACCGGGCTTCCGAAAGCTGGTGATATCCAGAGTCATTTCTTCCGGGCCTTCATCGCTCCCTTCCCCGGCTCCCTCCGCCTGTTCGTCGGCGGGCGACAGCTGCTGCTGCGGCGGACCCGGGCTGTCTTTGTTCCCCGGTGTGAGCTCCGGAGCCGGGGACTCGGTCCCTCTCCGCACCGGCTGAGGAGAGTTACAGCTCTGCATGTTCGCTTGTTGCATGGTCCGGTTCGCCATGCTCGGTACACAGGTTCGGTTCACTTTGTGGAGCAGGTTCGTGGACCGGTGTTTGATGGTGCACACACACCTCCTGGGTTCAAAGATGGCGACAGTTGCGCGCGCAACTTTCCATCCGGTTTTGTCTGCGGGTGTGACGGAAGATCTGGACCCAACCGGGTTTGTGTGTGTGTGTGACCCTCTTCGGGTTGGGGGGAGGATTTGGGTGCATTACCGCCACCTTCTGCTCCGGAGAGGGAATCAGAAAATACATTTGAAATAACATTTAAAATAATAACAATAAGAAGAAGAAATAAATCACACACACACACAAAGAGAGAGAGAAAACATATTACTGTTGCACAAAATTATGTTGATTTGACCTTTTTTTTTGCCTTGTTAAATACAGAATAATTTCCCCCATTATAATAATATAATAACCTCCTCCCCCCACCTTAAAATAATGTTTTAAGGTGGGGGGAGGAACCAGGCTCTGCGTTGACAGTCTCTCTCTGCAGACCCTGTAGACATGTTTGTTTTTAGGATCCCTCAGCTCGGCCACCTTGCTCCTCACTCAGGGCTTTTTGTCTTTGACCTGGCTGCATTTGGGGAGCTCGCCGAAAACAGGCAAAGTTGCTGGGAGGAGTTTTCGCCGATAATGGAAGCAACGTAAACACAAACCCCAGCATGGCTGTCCGACACACTCGCGACACGTTTCAGTCAGTAGCGGTCACGGTCAAGCTGCTGCAGGGAAACTCCCCTTCATCCATCCCGGCAGGGGGCTCCTGTCAGCCGTCCCCTCTGCAGCTGCTATTTGGCCCCAGACAGAGCCGCTGCTGACCCGAGGGTGTCACTCCTCCTCCCTTCATGCACTTTCCTTTATGTGCATCAACGTTTTATTATATTTTCTATCTTTTAGGGAAAATAGTCTCTTTGTCTGTCCTGTTGTACGTGTAAAATCACAAAAACAGACAAAAGAAAGGCTTGAAACTACAATAAATAAATGCAAATGGTTGACATTCATACTTTAAATTTGTATTAACACAATGGATGGATTTAGTTGATGATTATTTTTCTATTGATGGACTAATTGATTGATCAACTAATCCTTTCAGCTCTAAATCTTAAATGGTACAAGCCCCAAAAGCTGTAGATAATCTCCTGGGTGCCTCTTCAGTCAAGTCAATTTTTATCCATAAAAGGCCCAAATTCATAGATTTGTCTCAAAGGACGTTACAATCTGTAAAGCACATAAAACACTGTAACATTAGATCAATAGATTGACAACATAATATGAAGAATATGAAACCAAGAACATGTCAGGCAACCAAGTCATAGATGAACTAAAGCAGGAGAGCTGTCACTGCCCCCTTTCATCGCATATTTCCAGCGTGAACACTGTATATTTTGACTGATCCTCTACGTGTCTTTTGCTGTCTGTTGTTATTCGAGCAAGTTCCTGAGGTGCTGCTGAAAGCTTTTTCCATGACGGACCGGCCATCTGTCCAGATATTATGGCACATCTGTGTGCATATGCTTCTAAAATTCCTCTGTTTGACAAGGGCCTGAAGGGTTGCGGTCTCCTTCCTTGCCTCCCTGTGAGGGATCCCGTATCCACACAGGTCAGAGGGCTGCTGCCTGTCACTGTTGAGTCTATGTATGAGTCTGTCCACACAGGCTGCATACCATGTGTTTCACTCAAGGAATGTGAATAAGCAAGCGGTTTGTAGGGCACGCATAGTTTTGGAGGGTCTTGTTGTAATTTGCCTGCAGAAATAATGAATGCTCATTAAAGTGCAGAGAGGATTTGCTGTTTGATCTCTTTTGATCCTGAGCCCTCAAGCATTAATCTTACATGTGAGACACTGATCTTTCCCTTAATTAAGTCCATGTTCATTACTATTGGTTGCACATAGCACCCCATGTTGTGTGTTGTAGAGAGCAACATGCCTCTAATCCTCTGACAGTGAACCAGTAAAGATAAGAGATT